AAACAGCCAAACTGAATAATGATGGTGACCACAGGGGTTTTGGGTGGACTGACCATCCATTTTAAGGCACCTCACAATTACTGTTGGTGGCTACAGTTTGGCAGCTTGGATAAAACCTGATTTTGAAGCCTTAAATGCTGCACTAATTAAGTATTTATATTAAGGACTCTCATCAACCAGAAAGGTCCTATTAATATTAGAAATATCTGGTGATCAAAGTCGGGAACGATTATAGATCAAAAAACACCGATGAATTATTTACGTTCACCCCATTTGGACCCCATCAACCCACTCTGATATAATTATAAATATTTGATAAATAATTATGCCCTTCCCCTTGGAAGCAAGTGGTATTCCTCCACTTATTCCCCCCTGGTGATTTATATCAAAGGTCTGATTGTTTCCATTTGTAAATGATCTTCTGAAACCCAGACAAACCCCCTGCCCCCCCTTAATCATGGGGAATTTGCCTTGTTAGCATTGAGGGACCTTTGGAATTAACGATGCACGCATCAAAACCGTCCCCTAAACGGGGAGGGGAAAAAATGACAAAGAAATTCAAAATATTGTGACAATCGTCTTTAAGCTGCCTTGTAACTGATGGGTGAATGTTACCACTGGAGGTCACTTTTTCAATAATATCGTGCAATCCAACTTTTTATGTGAATGAGTATCTTTCATGCAGCCATCTACAGGGCAGAGAGAGAGAGAGAGAAAAGAAGCCGAAAGGAGGGAGAGAAACCAGCAAGAATATGCAAGCGAAAAAGGATGACTTGCGGGCTAAAAGCTACGGCTTGAAAAAGAAATTGGCTGATGAGCTGAAAGTTAGTTCAAGGCAGCTTCTTTAATCTGTCGACATACACGGTGTCTTAAAAGCTCCCTTGGCTGAATCAGATTCAGCCCCGTTGCAAATCTGGACTCCGTTGGGCTGGGAATTTTGACAGAGGTCTTAAGCTGCCAAAGTTTTTAGGAAGAGATTGAACAAGCAAAGTCACTAAGGATGCCTTCAGAGGTTTTTAAGAAGAGATTGGACAGCCATTCGCCCAGAATGGTATAAGATTTCCTGCTCGAGCAGGGGGCTGGACTAGAGGATCTCCGAGGTCCCTTCCAACTCTGTTATTCTGTTCTGTTCTAACTGTATTGTAAAGTTATAGTAATTACATATATTTACGATTATTGTAGCTTCCCAGGATCACCTTCTGTGCCGGCTTCCGACAAACAAACTCATTGGGCAAAGCCAGTTTTGCTTAATGACCAACAGGATTCATTTAATAAGTGAAGGATTACCTGAATAGAGTATTTACTTCTAGAATCATTATTTAACTTCAAATCTCGGTTCATCCTCTGCTCATATTCCCCTCATGCCTCCTCTTGTTATGCCTATATCCAACATCCCCTACAATGAGATCTAGAAACTTGGTGCATTTTGAATTGATTTTAAAAATCAGCCAGCCTCAGATTTTGGAATTTTTCCCATTGCGTCATAAGAACATTATTTTTACCTACCCTGCATAAAATTAAAATTAAAAATAACGCCCCATGCAAAATAGCCCATTAAGAAATTGTCTGTTTGCAATATGTAGGAAATTATAGGTATTGCCACAAATAATGACAGTTAAATTAATACGATAAGACAGGGGGATATATAATTATCCCAGCCAACATTATAATGCATTAGAATTGCCAAAGCGAATAAAAATGATTTGACTGCTTGCCCAAAATAGTAGAAAAATGTTGTGTTCCCATTAGTCCTTTAACCTGGCCTGGTCAAGAACTAACAGATGTGTTTGGACAGCTAGCTAAGCTTTGATTCATCTTAACCTTGGTTTGTTTTCCTGTGGCTTAGTCTGTTGATTTAATGCAGCCTGTTCTGGCTTAGTTCAGGAGCAGCCATGGAAGGCAGATTGGAGGTCAAAAAAGTCAAAATGGCAGTTGTGAGCACCATCCTCACCTTCCCTTGGGCAGATTTCTGGTTGAATGTAATTCAGTAACCAGTTTAAAGGACACAGTTGGACAATGGTGACTTCATTTGCTTTATTTAATGGGAGATCGGCTGGAGCAGGGATAGCAGGGCAAAACAATCATCTTTTTTTTGTAAAATCGCCAGGAGACGGCGAGTTCTAGTCCTGCGTTAAACACAAAAGCCACCTGAGTGACACAACTCAATATAATTTGGCTAATATCACCAGCTCTTATATATATATATATATATATGTATGTGAAACAATTTAAAGCTGTTTTTTTTAGCGGAAGCCTTCCTATAAAGGCAGTCGTTTATTGGGGGGAAAAAAACCAGCAGAAAAACAGTAAAATCTGACTAAAGACGTTAAAAGCCAGGGGGGAAACAAAGCAGTGTAAAATTACGACTGACTGAAGCAGTCCCCAAAGACAATTGAAAAGAAAACCAATAGCAAGTCATGGATTTGTAGAAGTTTTTTTAACGGCTCCAGATGGATGATATGTCCAGGTGCCAACCTTTTACTTATTTTATACGCACGTCAACTTTCACATTTGGTCTCTTGATCAAAAACGATGGGATCTCTAGACGTTTGGGCATCATGAAAGCAACCACCTTGCTTTGAAAGTGAAATGGGGAAAAAGAAACCGGGATGAAACCTAATTCAAACCTGTTTCCAGATCCAGAAGGGCGACTTTTTAAGCCGAGTTTGGCCAGCCGGCAATCAAAGCCCGTGTCACTAGCAGGCATGTTGGGAGCAAATATTTGTAGAGGCATCATCCACGTAGGCTGTTTTGCTGTTCCTGCAGCTCGAAAAAGGGAAAAGCTGGATCATCACTCTGAAGCCAAACAACTCGCAAGTGTGTTTTGTGTTTTGTGATTCTCTGTAGGTTGGAATGGAGATTGGGAAGAAGAGCTGCTTAGATGGCAGAGAACTGGCATTTCAGATTTTTTTTAAAAGGATCAGAGAATTTGGGAGAAATGGTTTCCCCTGAAATAGGGGTGTGTTTGTGTGTGTTCTGGCTAGGGAATTCTGGGAGTTGAAGTCCACACCTTCGTTGAGGAATTCTGGGAGTTGAAGTTCAGACATGCTAGCTGGGGAATTCTGGCCGTTGAAGTCCACATCTTTTCGACTTGCCAAGTTGAAGGAACAATGCACTTCTGGGTGCAAAACATCTGGATGGTGGCCTCTAGAATGATGACAGGAAATAACATCTGGGATTTATCTGGAGGTTACAAACCAGAAAAGAAGAACCCTTACTTTTAGAAAAAGGGAAGGCATAAACCAGACTTCCTTTGTGGTTTATGTGAAGAATTGGATGCCATCTCCATAGGTCAATTGCAGGAGTCGCTTATGAGAGAGAGCAGGATGAACGAAGGCGCCTTTGATACAGGGCGTTAATCTATCTAGCTTGCCTTTCTTCAGGGCAGGAAATTGACGAAAGGCTATGAAATTGATGGGTGAGAAATTGACGAGGACACAGAATTGACAGAAATTGGTGGAATTGACAAAAATGGATGGAATTAACCAATTAAGGAATTGACCGAAATGGATGGATTTGACCGAAATTGACAGGGCAGATGACGTAAGTGGCAGCAGGCTGTTGCAATGGGTGTCTGATGCATGCACGAACACAAGCGGTGGAACACACTTTGTGAAGTGAGTTGGGCTCTTCATCATCATCATCATCACCATCATCATCATTGCTCCTTTCTCCTTCTCCTTTTCTTTCTCTACGTCCTCCTCCTGCTCCTTTCTTCTCCTGCTCCTCCTGTTTCTTTTTTCTCCTCTGCCTCATCTTTTCCTTCTCCTCCCCACCCCCCCTTTATTTATCACTTCCTTCTCCTCCTCTTTGTCCTCCTCCTTCTGCTTCTCCTTTCTCCTTCTCTTCCTCTCCTTTCCCTCTTTATTTATCTCCTCCTCCTCCTCTCTAAAATTCCAGAAGACTGGGGCTGAGGCTGGCTCACTTGGGGCTTTTTAAAGCATTAACGTTTCCCGATCCTTGCTTGTGCTAAGGGACAGAATCTGACGTGAAGGGGTGGGGAGGAAGTGTGTCGGCCTCCAATCTTTTTTAGTGCAGGCTTATGGCGAGATAAATAAATAACTTTCTGCTAGCCATGTTTTTCTGCTCAAGAAGGTGTCAACTTCCTGCTCCAACTTTTCGGTCTCCTAGCCAAAAGGTCTGGGGAATTTTGCTGATCAGATCTTCTCCCGGGGCCCAATTTGTACTGAATAGACTGGGTGATGCCTTTTTGTGCTTGATTCGGACAGCCTTAAAATCTGCCTGGCTCCCTCTCGTCATCAAGTTGGGTCCTTCTGAAAGCGTGGCACAAAGAGACGGGAACAGCAGCCTCTGGGGAAGACGTGGAGGGGACATGACATCCCATCAATGTGGCAATTGTCTCACTCACGGAAGCCTTGCAATGCTTGTGCCCATCTGCCTCCCAAGGCTCTTTTTTCCCCCCTCAAAAATCTGGGGTTCCCCCCCCAACACTGCATCCCTTTACGAGGCCTCTTTGATGTTGGTGGTTTCTGCATCCTGCTGAGGATAATGTGCTTCAAATATGGGGGCCCCTCCATTTTACTGGCCTTCTCCAACGTGGGTGGCCTCCCACCGTGTGAACTGGAAATCCCAGAATTCTTTGGACTTGGCTAGGCTGGCAGGGGAATTCTGGGAGTTTGTACCCCCAGCTGGAAGAGGTCTGAGTTGGGGAAGTTTGCCTAGGAAAGAATGATGTTTTAACTAGACAGGAAAAAGCAAGTTGGAAAGTTTTATATTGCAGTTGTACTTAGGGCTGGTGAAACTGACTAGCTAAGGGGCAAAACACCTTAGAATTCTAAATCTTGCCATTTATGGATGGGAAAGGTATTTAAACTACCAAGCATGCAGGAACGCTGGATAAAGCTTGGAATCTCTCCACTAATCAAGGCGAGGAGCAACCTGGAATTAAGGAGAAACTTCCTGACACTGAGGACGATTAACCGGTGGAACAGCTTGCCTCCAGAAGTTGTGGGTGCTCCATCACTGGAGGTTTTTAAGAAGAGGCTAGACAGTCACTTGTCTGAGATGGTATAGACTCTCCTGCTCTAGCAGGGAGTTGGACTAGACGACCTCCAAGGTCCCTTCTGTGTTATTCTGTATTCTGGATCACATCAGCTTTGGGCTTTGGGGGTGGGTAGAGGGAGAGAAATGCCATTGGACAGAAGGTGCCAGTTCACTACTGTTTTCCCACTTACAAACACCGATTTTGTGCTCCTGTGCAAGACCGCTGTGTTGAAAATCGGAGCTAAATTTGTGAGTGGGTGGGGGGTCCCACTCAATAAATCAATCCTACTGTTTTATTGCCAGTCACCCCTCCCCATCAGCTAGTTCCGGACTGGTCTTTGACAGATGCTTTGGCCATCTGTTAAAACTCTCCGATCCCAGGTTGAGCAGTTGGGGATGCTTTTCCCACTGGCATCACTTAAGTCAGCAAAATTAGGAACCCCATTCCCTGGAGATCCAGATGTTCCATAGTATATTTTGTATGTATGTATTTATTTACTTACTTAATGTATTTGTATCCCGCCTTTATTATTTTTACAAATAACTCAAGGGGGCAAACATATCCAACACACCTTCTTCCTCCTGTTTTCCCCATAACAACAATCCTGTGAGGTGGGTTTGTTTGAGAGAGAGGGACTCGCCCAAAATATCACCCAACTGGCTTACGTGCCTAAGGCAGGACTAGAACTCATCACCTCCCACTTTCTAGCCCGGTGCCTTAACGCTAGACCAAACTGGCTTTGGATAGTAAGATGGGTGGCCTATGCATTTAATAATAATAAAATAAAATGAAATATATTTTTCCAATAATTCCTGGATGTCTTCAGCCATCATCCATAGAAAAACACTATTGTAAAAATCGATCAACAGACAAATAATGGATTGCTTTTTCCACAGAGCAGAACTGTTTTAAAGATTTCAAAGTTGTCTGTTACCTTTTCCCCATTCCTCTTCTCCAATGTGTCCCCTCCCACAAAACTAGCCCAAATTTAAACAAACCACTCGTTTTTTCATTAACCCTGTTAAGTAGGTTATTCGCAGGCAGCTGGCAGGAGCTCATGAGGGCATCTCCAAGTGCCTTTGCTTTAAAAAGAAAGAAAAGCTGAAATGAGAATTCCAGAATTTCAAAACTTACAGATTATGAGGAAAGCTGCTGAAAACTCACTTTTCTTGCAAAAGACAACTTCACGGGGAATTCCCGTAAAGCAGAAGACAAATAACTTTTTTGCAAAACAGCAATCTTGTGCTTTTTTTTTTTCTTTCTCCCCAACACTTCCTACCAGCTTGATGTTGTTAAGTCCTTGAGTTACGGTTACAGTTTCTGTTGCTTGATGACTTTTGATCTTTTCCCCTCTGGCCTCTTTTACAGGATTGTTGTGAAAATACAACGAAGGGGAAGGAAAGGGCGCCAAACCGAGGCACACCGAGCACAAACATCACCTGGGGACATCAGCATGTCGGATTGTGGTTAGTAGACAATCTTGGGGTGGAATGTGAGAAGCCAGGACTGAAATGTCCAAATTGTCTCTCCCTGCCTTTTCGGTGTGTGTGTGTGTGTGTGTTTCTGATCTGGTTCCCCATCCGAAAGAGGAAACAGCTTGTTGAAATTGCAGTGCTTCAGCCTAAGTGTCAGTTTTCCAGTTGCAAATCTGCCTGCGCGTTTCAGTCTGCTTTCCCCCCCATCTGGTGGTGCAAACGTCTCCTTGGGGAAGGGGGTGGGGGTCTCCTGGGTGGGGGGAGAAACCGATCATGCCTTCCACTCCTTCTTGGTTGCCATTGCTTCGGCTTCTTTAAAATAGAAGAAAAGCATTTGTTTATTTAAAGAATTTAAAAGGGGTCCCCTTGAGTCCTCTCCAAGGAATCCACGCCCTGATGCAAACTACGGTGACCGACTAATTGTCAAAAGACAGGTGGTCCTCGAATTACAACATTTCATTTAGTGACCGAGGTTACAACCGCACTGAAAAAAGTGACTTATATCCCTTTCTCACGGCATCCCCCCTGGTCACGTGATCAAAATTCACCCGCTTGGCAACTAGTTCATAGTTTTATGATGGTCGCCGTGTCCCGGGATCACGTGATCCCCTTTTGCAACCTTCTGACAAGCAAAGCCCATGGGGAAGCTGGATTCACTTAACAACCGGGTCACTAACTGAACAACTGCAGTGATTCATTTAACAACGGTGGCAAGAAAGATTGTAAAATGGGGCAAAACTCATTTCACGATCTCACTTAGCAACAGAAGGTTTGGCTCTCGAGTTCTACCTGTATTTATGTACTTATTATTAAATGTATTTGCTGCCCGTCTCGTATCCAGCGACTCTGGGTGGCGTTTGACCCCAGCGAGCACCCACATCTGCCCATCCCGGGTCCTCGGGAAGGAGTAGAAAAAGGCCAAAGGCAACCCAAAGTCCTGCTGGTCCAGCCTAATAATTCTGCCCCTTTTCAGCTGCACCAAATGCAGGACGAACTGCCTGCTTGTGGCCGCCATTTTGACTTTTTTGCCCCCCATCCCCATGGATGTCCCTGCAACGGACTGTCCACTCTTAGTTTAACAGATGTGGTTTTAAACAACAAAGCATTTTAAACAAAAACTATTGTGATGCAAAGGGATCCATCCTTCTGTTATTTTCTCTCTCTTTTGCTTTCTCTTCTCTCTCTTTCTTTGTCCCTCTCTCTCTCTCTCTCTCTCTCTTTCTCTCTCTCCTTTCTCCTCTTTCTCTCTCTTTCTTTCTCTCCTTTCTCCTCTTTCTCTCTTTTTCTCTTATTTCTCCTATTTCTCCTCTCTCTCTTTCTCTCTCTTTCCCTATCTCCAACAATTTCCAGCAATTCGCTTTTATTGGGGGGGGGAGTGGGGAAACGAGCCCTGCTTTTAAGAGGGGGCGCCCACATTTTTCCAGGCTCCTCTGTTCTAGGAAAGGGCTCGCACCCTCGCCCACCAAGTCTGCCCAGCTTCCTTTCCCCGGGTTGCGTTCCCACGACCCTTGACGCCAGACACCCCCCACCCTCCCCAGCCCAGCCCACCCCGGTCCGCCTTGGCGCCGCGCGCGGAACTCCGCATCCTTTTGCAAAGCGTGAGAACTCCGCTCGGGCCCGCCATTGACCCGAGGCGGAGAGCAGCTGCATTCGAGGCAGGTCGTGTGAAGGCAGCTCCTGATTGGCAAAGGGACGGTGGGGGGGGTGGGGAGGGGGGGCTAGGGGAACCCCACCTTCCTCGCTTCACCCCCGGCCCTCTTTTGCGAGCGAGTTCTGGGATTGGCTGGCGTTTCTATGGCAACGGCAGCTCTGCGCAGGGAGGGGGGGTGGGGAGGCTGGTTTGGGGAGGGGGCGGCCGGGGTACCCCCACTCCTTGCCGTGGGGGGCCGCTGGCGGTCCGGAGCGAGCCGACCCCCGTCTGTCTCCGGATCTGACAGCCCGGGCGGGGCGGGGGGGGCGGTTGCGTGTCAAGGCGAGGAACAAAGGAGAGGAGCGCACGGCGAGAAGGGGAGCGGGCGCTCCGTCTGAACCGCCACCGGCGGGGTTGTGCCCCCAACAGGTTAAACGCCGAACAAGCTCCGCGAGAAAAATCCCCAGGAAAAGCACCCGCCGTGGCCTGTGCGGAGAGCCCTGGAATTGCACGCGGGCTGCCAGGGCCGGCCTGCCTTCTCCGGGGGAGGCCAGCATCTGGGCGGTCCTGAGCCCCCCTCCCACAGGCAGAAAGCCAAAAGTTAAAAAAATAAAAAGGACAAGAGAGAGAAAGAGAAAGCTGGGAGAAAGAGTTGGGCTTTTCCCCCCTTTTTTCTTTTTCCAACCACAATTTTAGTCCCATAGTTTCTGCTGCTAAGTGAGGGGGTCGGTCGTTAAGCGAGTTTGGCTCCATTTGACGACCCGACTTGCCACAGGGGTTCAAGGGAATCCCTGCAGTTGTTACCTCGGTCACACGGTCGTCAAGTGGAAACGGCTTCCCCCCTTGGCTTGGCTGGTCAGAAGGTCTCAGAAGGGGACCCCGGGACACGGCGACCGTCGTAACTACGAGCCAGTTGCCCAGCGTCTGAATGTTGATCCCGTGACCGTGGAGGAGGCTGCCACGATCGCAGGTGTGAAAAACGGACCCGAGTCATCTTTTTCACTGCCGTCGTAACTTTGAACGGTCATTAACTGAACAATCATAAGCCGAGAACTACTTGCCAAGGTGTTCTACCTAGCCCAATTCGGGGCTTTCTCTTTCGTGGCTGTGTGATAGTTTTATTTTTATTTTTTAATGTTTATTTATTTTTTCGTGAGGGGAAGAAACAGAGAGGCGAAGCCTTCGAAAGAGTCGCTCTAGGGCGGCTCCTGGCTTCAGCTGGAGAAAAGTCACTTCTGCCCCTCTCGCCTCCAGGCCAGGTGGGGCTCCAGAGAGGAATTACGGGGACCTCCTCATTTTTAGGGCACCGTTTTTGAAAGGCACCCCAAAGTCTAAAGAGCCCAAGCAGAAGCTCTTTGCATGGCTGCAAAGCAGGACGTTGATTGCACTGCGCCTCTCACTGGAGATGCAGCATAAGGTTCATTCCTCTGTTTTCTTCTTTCAGTGATTCTTCTAAGTGCTCAGGAAAGTTTAAAATTTCCAAAGAGAAGGAAGGAAGGAAGGAAGGAAGGAAGGAAGGAAGGAAGGAAGGAAGGAAGGAAGGAAGGAAATACAGGTAACCCTTGACTTATTACCACTTTGAGAGATCAGCCAGACTTCTTAGAAACCCAATGAAGGAAGTTTTGCTCTTTTCACTTGGCTGTTTTACTTCCTTGGCCCCCCTGAACCTCTTTTCCTTTCCTGATTTGAGGTTTCAGATTGCTGCCCCTTTTAGGTCTCTACCAAACTCTTTTGGGGAGGGGTTCTGCTTCTCTACCCCCTCCTACCCCCTCCTCTTCCTCCGGCAGATGAAGGTGAGACGGTGAAGGGCGGACTGAGTCCTCACTGAAAGAGGAGTCCCAGCAGGCGAGCTGGACGCCGGTTCAGCTCCTGTACCCGGAACAGCTGCTCGGTCTGCTGGCTTCAGACTTCCCCTGGTTTGGGGGAAGCTGCTTGGTGTGGGGGGGGGGTCTGGGGAGACACAGCTGCTGGGTTCTTCACGGTGAGCGAAATTGCTCTGGTTCCTTGCAAGGACGGGCGTCAGAAACTGGCAAAATCCTCAGGTGTTCCTAACTCCTGGGAGAACCAGGTGTAGGAAGAAGGTAGCAGCCCTTTCTTTCTTCCTCCCTCTCTCTCATCTTTTTTCTTCCTCTCTTCCCCCCCTCCTTTCCTCCCTTCCTCATTCCCATCTTCTTCTCCTTCCTTCCTTTCTTCCTTCCTCCCTCCCTCCCTCCCTCCCTTCCTCCATCCTCTAGTGCTCATGATTAAAGATATCCCTGTGTGGTCCCCCTTCCAAAATTCATTTTGTCAGCATCTCCCTCAGCCAAACCTTCCAAGTTCTTCTGCAAGGAATTGGGTAGGTGGCCAGTGCCGAGATCAGATTAAATTCTGCAAAATTGGGGGGGGGAACCCCACTCCGGCCAGCATTCCTATAAACTGACGTAATCTTGGCCACTTGTTGAGCCCCCTTGTTAAAGAAGGAATTTTTCCCTACCTGAGGCCCCCTTTTCCCAGCATTTTCTCCCACTCCCCAACTAGATATCCCTTGATGAATCAAAAAAGGACGTTGGTCTATTTTTGTATTTTTGTTTATTGTTGTGGGGTTTTGTTTTTTTTTTTGTAATTTTTTTTTGTTGATAATTTCTCTTTTAACTTCTGAATAAAGTAAAACAAAAACCAAAAAGATACATTGTACAAAACAGAAAAAAAGAAAGTCACGTTTAGGGTTAGGTAACCATGCTGGCCATTTTGAGTTTTCTGCCCCCTGCGAGGACCTCCCTCCTCTTTCCAGCCACCCAGGAAGAAACTATGGTTTGTTTTCCCCCAATCTCCATTCTTTTTCTTCAATTCTTTGAAGTGTGACCCACCAATATCAGTGGGCAGGTGTACAGACAGTCCTTGAATCATGACACACTTCTGTCACTAAACGAAACAGCTGATAAGTGAATCACTGCCATTGTTAAGTTAGTAACCTGGTTATTAAGTGAATCTGGCTCTCCCCCGCTGACTTGGCCTGTCAGAAGATCGCAAAAGGAGGTCACGTGACCCCAGGATGCTGTGGCCGTCATAACTATGAACCGGTTTCCAAGGGTCTGAATTTGCTGCAACAGTTGTAAATGTGAAAAAAGGTCTGAAAAGGCACATTTTTTTCAGTGCCTTTATTAACTTTGAAATGTCATTAAATGGACTGTCATAACTCGAGGACTATGTCCTATTTTTCCTCTCCTAAAAACCGTGGCTAGTCTGATGCTGGTTTCTAAAGCCATCCAAGCTTAATGGTCTCCTATTTCTCCCCCCCCCATCCTCTTTACGCCTTTGAATATAAAAAAACCACAACCCCCACATTTGATGCTTTTGGGGTCCGATTTATCCCTCGCCCGCTTCTCCCCTTCACCCTTGAAGGCGCAAAGCGGGGCAGGCTGGCTTTTGCAAAATAAACGAATGCTGGCTTCACCTTGGCAGGGCTGTGAAGGGCTTGCGCGGTGTGTGGCTGGCACATCTTCCACCCGGCTTCTCTGGCTTTGCTCTCATGCTGAGGAGCTGCAGGAAGGGAGAAGAGAGCAGGAAGCTGCAGCAATATATATATATATATATATATATATATATATATATATATATATATATATATATATATATATGTGTGTGGTGTGTGTGTGTGTGTGTGTGTGTGTGTGTGTGTGTGTGTGTGTTTAAAGGAAAGGAGGGGAAAAAACTAAGCAAGGATGAGGGGAGAGAATGGGGGGGAGAGAAATGGAAGAAACAGATTTTTTTTTTTTGAATCTGGAGGGGGTAGCACAGAGCTAAAAATAAAACGGGAAGATCGTTATCTGTCAGGCTGACGTCGGATTGGATCCCTGGCAGTGCATATAATTACCGAGTGGTAGGTAGAGTTGCTAAACAGCAAGACAAGTTATGCTTTAACCTGTGTTAGTCCTGCTTCTGGGAGAGAAGAGGGGGGGAGAGAGAGAGAGAGAGGAAGAGAGAGGAAGAAAGAGGGAGAGAGAAAAAGAGAGAAAGGGAGAGAGACAGAAGGAGAGGGAGAGAAAGAGACAGAAGGAGAGGGAAAGAGAAAAACAGAAATAGAGAAAGGAGAGTGGGAGAAAGAGGGAGAGAGAAAGAGACAGAGAAAGAGGAAGAGGGAGAGAGAAAAGGGGAGAGAAAGCTGGAAGGAGATAGAAATAGAGAGAAAGAGATAAAAAGAGAGAGGGAGAAAAAGAAACAGGCAAAGAGGCAGAAAGAGACAGAGAGGACTCCCCCCTCCTACAATAACCTCCAAATCAAGGCAGGAAATTAGCTGGAATTAATCGTGGAGCTGCGCCGGGAGTGTCTCGCCAGCTCTTTGGGCGAGATGCTGCTTATCTTCACGGAGCAGCTCATTGTCGGGCTCTGGGCGTCTGCAAGTGTGTGCAGGCGTGCGCCTTCCTCGCCCCTCTGGAGTCTTTGGCCTCTTGGTAGAGAGCGGATGGAAAAAGACCCCCCCCTCTGTTTTGAGGAGGGGGGGTCTGGTATGGGGATGGTGAATGTGTGCAGCGAGGGAAGGAGACCCAGGCCCGGAGTCAAAGCCCAGCTGAGTGAGGACCCTGCTCCTCCCTCTTTATCCCCCCTCCCTCCCTGGGGGCAGATGGACCTGCCTCACACACACACACACACACACAGTCCGCAAAACAATTACGATACGGCTTTCCCCCTAAAGCCAGGAGTCCACGTGATGGCCGAGGTGCACCGATCCCTATGGAGCGCCATCGATGTCCATCAATTACCACGGATTGGATTGCCCTCAGCAGCTGCCCAGGCCCCCTTCGCCCCCCTCGCCCTTCGGGAATCATTGGCCAGGAGGTGTTTTCTCCCCTCCCGGCTTGGAAAGGGCAGTCCAGGAAGCCCTCTGGAGGGTGTGTCTGTGTGCACACAATGGCTGGCGGGATGATGGGAGAAAACGCGCCCTTGGTGTACAGGTATTCCTCCACTTAGCAACAGTTCCTTTAGTGACAATGGTTCATTTAGTGGCAAAGACCTACAACGGTTCATTCAGAGTTACAATGGCACTGAAAACAGTGACCGGTGACTGTTTTTCACACTTACGACCACTGCAGCATCCCTGTGGTCACGTGATCAAAATTCAGCCGCTTGGCAACTGATTCATATTTACGACGGTCGCAGCGTCCCCTTGGGGTCACGTGATCCCCTTTTGCAATCTTCTGAGAAGCAAAGTCAGCGGGGGAAGCCAGTTCCCTTAACCA